ATGTCTTGTGATCAGCTCCAAAAAACTCCCTGAGGTTGCTGGAGTCGGTTCAAAGAAGAGCCATCAGGCTCATCAATGACCCGCCAACTCTGACAAGATCACTGTAAAACTTATTATAACATTATAGGGATTCCCTTTCGTACGCTCCAAGCGATTAAAAAAAAACACGGCTGGCTCTAGTTTCACACCCATATGCAGTCGAAATTAGAACATCTATAACATTCACGATTCAATAACTTCTGCTTTTGCAGGACATCTTCACCTCGGAATTGTTTGTCCACGAATGTATTTCCTGCAAATTACGATCTGTCCACCTTCAAGGAAATCCACCGATATTTGTCCCCCCTTAGTGTTCACAGTTCCTCCAGGGGATTATAGTTCCAACTTTTTGCAAGCACTTCCGAATAGAGAATAACTCCTTCAATTCTCTTCTCTAAAATGCTTTACCAGCAGTACTAAGGTGCATGTCGATTGGCTAATTGAAGGCTGTCATAGATTTCTGTATGGGAAAATGTTTTTATGGTATTGGTGGTTACATTACCTCTGCTATCAGAATTCTATTATGACATTTATATGTAATCCTAGTATTCAGTGTAATACCTACTTGTATAATTTCATTCAGCCCATTTCTCTATACAGTGCGTCCATAAAGTGACGCATAAATTCATTATTGGCTAAATGAACAATAAAATTAGGAATTCCCGAAACAGGTAGATTTTTGATTTCAATTTACTATTGTTTCAAATCATAATCTGATATACAGGGTGAACCACTTTCGTGTAATGACGTCATCACCATTTTTTTCAAATGGAACCCCCCTTTTTTTGTCAATTTCAGAATTGCCCTTGCTGAGCTGATTCCAAAAATGTATAATATGTTGCTTCAAATTGGTACAGGGTGGGCAAAAATGCAAAAAAAATATGAAAATTGGATTTTCTACATCCGACAAAATTATGACTTGTTGAATATTTTCATCAATTTTTGGTTTGCTTTGCTGCATTCCTCACATGTCCTAATTCTCTGTATTTTCGCTCTATTCTAGTTACCGTAGATTGTGAAATAGGTTCACGATCTGGGTGCCTTTCATGGAATAATCGGCATACCTCTTGTTGAGTCCGCATCTTATCGCCAATACCAATCATCATTGATATTTCAATCCTGTCACTTTCGGTCAAAGGCATTTTGTAAAAAAAGTTCACGAACGTACCTTCTCTAAAGCGTTAACAATACGAAACTGTGCTTCAATGTTTTTGACAGTACGTATTGTCAAATAAAAAAAATGGTAAAAGATAATGCCAAACAAAAAGATTTTTATAGTCCACGGACCACTAATAAAAGCGGTAAGATACAATTATTAAGAATAATGCTGGATGTTCTTGATAGTTTATCAAAGTAGTTGTATAACAATACGTAATTTATTACGTTTATTCATTAGTTTTATTACTTTGTAAGTAAATTTTTGCATTTTTGTCCACCCTGTGCCAATTTGAAGCATCATATTATACATTTTTGGAATCAGCTCAGCAAAGGCAATTTGGAAATTGGAAAAAAGGGGGGGGGTTCCATTTGAAAAAAATAGTGATGACGTCATTACACGAAAGTGGTTCACCCTGTATATCAGAATATGATTTGAAACAATAGTAAATTGAAATCAAAAATCGACCTGTTCCGGGAATTTCTAATTTTATTGTTCATTTAGTCAATAATGAATTTATGCGTTACTTTATGGACGCACAGTATATAATATATACTGTTTCACTGTAGTGTTTCCATCAGAAATTATATAATGCATGATGATTTTTGTGTTTGTATAACTTAACGAATTTATTTTCCAAACTTTTTATGATTCAGCTGTTCGCTATGATTTCAAAGTGAATTTCAACCAGTTTTTTGAATATCGTGATTTTTTCAAAACTACTACTTATTCAAGCTACCTAATAATAACCAAAATTGTAACGTGATGAAATGAATCTACCTAACACTCCATGATATACGCATCGTCATGCAAGTATTGATTAGGAGCCAAAAAATATAATATGGGCGAATGCAGGGCCAATCCAACCCTGAAGATAATGCGGACCAATTACATTCGTGTCGGTCTATCATCAACTTTCACGAACAAATAACTACAATGAGACGCAATGACGTAAATATACACAAAGAAAACATTGCACTGATTTATTATAGGGTATATTAGTTGACCATATCAGACAGAAACAAAAAATCTAGGCAATTCATTGCTTTTTCATTCAGTTTACCGATATACCTACCTTGTTCCAATTAAATGTCGGTAGATAGAAAATCAAAAGTTGTAATAGGGTAATTTGAGCCGTTTTGACCAATGATGAATAGTTTCAACACAAAAAAAATCCTGAAATTAAAAAATCTCGATATTTAACACCCTATATCTCTGTAATCATTTCCCCTAGACCCCGAGTGTGAAGCATTGATGAAATCAGCTCTTCAGGGAGAATCTGAAAATGCAATGAAATACAGGGTGTTCCATTTGAAATAACAAAGTTGTTGCTACTTTTCGATATAAGCGGCAACGCCGCAGCGCTGAAAATATTTTAGAACGATGTCCCCCTTGAAAATGTAGTTAACGTATTCCAGTATTATTTCATAATCCGGTTCTGGCGACCTACAGAGCCTCTGTTTCGTTTTCAATGGCCCACTCTGTGATACCTATATGTATTCAGTGCGTGTATTACCATTCAGAATCTATATGAAACTTTATTGTAAACCAGTGGGTTTCACAAATCATCGCAAACAAACAAACAATATTCTTTCTGGATATTCTGGGAATATTCAGAATTGTATCGAAATATATGATATATTGATCGATTGATATTGACACACCCTATTATATTCTATAGCCGCAATGCTGATTATCCTACTATAATTCAGTGTTGTCATCTTGCCTCCAATTTAATCTATCAATAAGCTTCGTGGCGAAGTGGATAAGGTTTCACAGGTTCGTAAAAATTTAATTACAAGATATATAATAGGTTATTCGCATCCCCACCGAAGCAAACTTTTTTAATTTTCTTCCTTTTTTTTCTATACACTAGGAATATTCATAGAATATATATGTATCATACTGTGAGGATATTCTGAGAATACTCTAATATTCTCAACGAATTTTCTATGAAACGTTGTATTAATAACATTGTGCTATCTGGGGAGGGTTGAAAATAAGCCGCTTTCAATGTCATTTGGAAAATAGTTATTTATTATACAAGGGAAAAAAGTAGGAGATTTTAGCTCCAGGTTGTGTTGTCTCCCGAAGCGTAGCGGAGGGAGACAAAAAGCCGTGAGCTAAAATCTAATATTTTTCCTCGTATAATACACTATTTCTTTCTGTGACAGAAGAAAGATGAATCAATATTGAGAAGATATTACATTATTTTGAAATCTGAAAATCATCGACGTGAAATTTTAAGTTTATAACAGTAGGGACAACTGCGTTGTAGGCATCTTCATCATTCTTTTGAAGTAATCAAATATCTGATGTCACTTCTGTCAGTCTAATTCTGCGATTTGATCTCAAAAAATTGCGAATTCAGCGGTTGTTTAGTAATCTACCTAACCGCGAAGTATCGAATGGTAGATAAAAAGACTTCTTCAGTTCTTTCTCGAGGACGGTATTATTGACTCATTTTTCGTAACTGTAGCACAACAAAAGCCATCAACAGTGTATATATGTGATATATATCCGAGAAAAAAGTACTCACTTTTTTTTCCACAGGAAGTAATTCATGAAAAAAGACATTTTATAACCTACCAACAGAGATGAAATGCCAATCTTCTTTCCCGTCACAGAAAAAAATATATTTTTCGAGTAAACTGTATCACTGTAGAATATATGTCTCAATCAATCTTTATTTCTACAGAATTCAATACAGTTGTCAATCATATATGGAACAGATACAACTCAGAAATTGACAAACTTTTGAAATAAATTACATAGTTACGAAAATATATGAGAATCAGCACATCAAATCATCATACACAGGGTGTTAAGTAGAACCAATACACTATGGCTAACTATATATGGTCAATTAATGCGATGCTGTCTGGCTTCAGAAAAAAAAAGATGGAATATTATTTTATCATAGGTATAGGTATATATTGTCCCAAATATGATTTCACTGTCCATTTTGGACTTTTCGCTCGAGATTGTTTTGGAAATTCATCTTCAAAATTACCATACAGAACGATATTTTCAATTTTGAACTTGTCGACAATTTTTGTCAATTTCTAGGACCCAAAAGGACCGATTGATGCCCAGTATGAGTAATTATCGAGAAACGTTGTCATCAATATCAAACACGGTGGTATAATAATTTGATCAGATCTTTGATAAAATTTCCATGTTCAAACGATTATATTACATTCTTTATTTAATTTTCAAACCTTTCGTGTGCTATCTCTTGCACTATAGTGACCACCGTGTATAATATTCATGACCACGTTTTCCTATGATGGCTCATACTTGGCATCAATTGGTCCTTATGTTCGAAATATTGATAAGAATCGTTGACAAGTTCAAGGTTGAAAATATCGTCCATTATGGCAATTGAAGATAAACTTCCAAAACCGTCTCGAGCTGAAAGTGTAATAATGAACAAAGAACACTTAAAAATACTACGTTCACGAATATTTGATATGAAATGAGCCATTTTGTTTGAATCTATCAAAATAAATTTTTGCTTAAAATTATTTTTCTATATTTTGCGTCCACTTCTGGTATACTCAGCTATGGTCTTAAAAAATGTGATTAACATGACTAGAAGAAAAATAATATTCTTTTCTTGTAGCGAATTCATAGAAGTGGTTCCGAAATATAGCCTCAGGTTTCTAACTCTGACAGATTATAAATCAAAAAATTTTTTCTTGAGGCCAGATAGCATCGCAAAAATTGACCATAGTGTATTGGTTCTACATTACACCCTCTTATAAGTGGTCCTTTTCATGTGTCGAGAACTGTAGAAAAACTTTGAGAACTCGCAGTAATATGGAATATCTCAAGTCGAAGCTAGTGATGAGTATAGTTTTTCAGAATACAGGAAGAAACAGTGGACATAAGTCTGATTCGCCTCAATCCAATAATATAATTCGAAATGATTATTTTTTCAACATGTATGAAATGTAGAAATACCAAGGATTTTTTTTAATCGTATTTGCTCGCAAAAGGTTGGACCTATAATCCTGCGGCGGAACTGCGAACACTAAAGAGGAACATTATGTCGGTGGATCTTTCTTCTAAAGGTGGTCGGTGGATTGGTTGTAGTTTTTCTGAAAGTACATCAAATGGTGAAGAATTCCAGACTGAAGATGTCCTACAGAAGAGGGAGAAACATGATGTTCTAGATGTTCCAACTTTGACTGCATATGGGTGCGAAACCTGTTGAGGCAGTTGAGTTTGGTGAACAAAGGTCATTGATGTTAGTTTGATTGATTCCAGGAGAGTGCTGAGTTCTGTAGATCGCTATTGTCGTCATCTATTATATGTATCGACAAGTCTAATTTTGTAAAGCTTTTTCAAATAGAAATATCAATAATCAATAAAAGCGAGTTTCATTTCAAGTGTTCTTATACAGGGTGTTATTCAAATATGTAACCAAACTTCAAGGCGTGATTATTTGAGTGACAATTATAGTGAATACGTGGTATTTCAAATCCCGTGACAAAAGGTTATAGCTCGACCAACAAGGAGCTGTAATTTGTCGAGGGATTCAAAAACACTTTAATCCTGAGGTGTATATACTATTTTATGCACTTCAAGATAGGTATAACGTTGAAAATAACGAAAATGCCACTAAACGCTAGGTAGGTACTCGACTATTTCTAAAACGTCATCGAAGGGGCTAATTATCACCATAGTAACCATACCTCAGTAACTATGGTGATCCAGATTTCGGGGAAAACAATTGTACTTCAAATCCCTAGGAATTTAAAGTAACTTCAATACCCTAGGGATTTGAAGTATCACTTTTTTCCTCGAAAATAGGAAATAAAGGTAGCCTTTGAATCCATGAAGTGCATATAATAGTACATCATACACCTAGGGACTGAAGTGGCATTTTAAATCCCGAGATAAAAAGTTTATAGCCCTCCCGTTGGTCGGGCTATAATTTGTCGAGGGATTCAGAATCACTTTATTCCTGAGGTGTATGTACTATTTTATGCACTTTCTTTAGGATAGGTGAAACGTTGAGAATAACGAAAAAATTAATAAATGCTACTAAACAGTAGGTAGGTACTCTATTTCCAAAACATCATCGAAGGGGCTGATTGTTACCATATCAACGACCTCAGTAACTATGGTGATCCAGATTTCGGGGAGAAATGTGGTTCTTTAAATCCCTATAGTGATTTAAAGTGTACTTCAATTCCATAGGGATTTGATTTCCTAGGGATTTAAAGTACTACTTTTTCCCCGAACATAAGGATCTGAAGTACCCTTTAAATCCCTGAAGTGCATGAAAACTGTTACATGACCCCCTGGAATCCAAGCCACAGAGGGTGCTTCGATTCGTTGTACCTGGAATTTTACCATTTAGACCAGGGTCGATCAGTTTTCTAACCAAAAAACTTATAGTAGGATGAAACTCGTCAAAAAATGACGAAAAATGATTTACGGGCGATCTGAGGTCGGGAAGTGAAAGGGGGAGGGGGAGTTTTAAGGGTGAAAAACGGTGTATCTCGATTAGTAGCATGTAGAACCTACTGGTATAGAGTAGTTTTGTGGAATTAACAATTCTTCAAATACTACAGAAATTTCGAGAAATTTAAAAAAATCTAAAAATCATAAGTTGCAATAGAAAGTTCAAATTCAAAACACAAGTGTGTTGATATTCAAACAAATTAGCCCAATTTCAGCGATTATTTTGAGAAAATGTAACTTTTGACATGTAGCGAGTCACGTGACCCCGATCGAGTAGGTCATTTTCCATCTTTTTTTAAGCAAAACTTTACGCCCAAGTCGAGTTTCAAAATAAATAATTAATAAGTTTTTTCCACATGATGCCGACTTTATGAATGACACTGTAGCTATATACATATAACAAATTGAAATAATTTAAAATGTTTGTCTCTCCGAATATATAAATGAGATATTTAATTGAAGGTGGTCCGGTTTGTAATACAAAATATTCAACAGTTGTACTCGTTGAAATGTTAAAAAAAATGTGCACCTAAACATATATACTTTTAAATGCGTCGTTTCCGAGATATAGGGTGTTGAAAATACGAAATTGTTTTTTGATGGAAAGTTCGAAACGGTTTGAGATAAAAGAACAAAGTTCCTCACAGATACTTTTACGCTCTATGAGATAGAATAAAAGTTATTCCATGAAGTAAATCAGTGGCGGCTGAATCTGGGAGTGGTGACGAAAAAAATCACCCCAATTCTTATGTGCATCAAATTTTTCATTCTCAAATACAAAATGTGAAAACAAATACAATTCCGCGTATGATAGTTCTGTTATATTTTTTCAATGCGTTACAATGTTTTCGAATTGAAACGGATTAACGATATGATAAATTAGGCTAATAAAAAATGTAAAAATTATAATAAAGCTTCAATTTACAAAAAAAATCGACTGGTACACTTTTTGATGAAATTCACGCAATAATGCCAGTTTTTTATTCCACTAGCAGACCTGTGAAAGTGGCAGCACATCTGAACAGTGAGCATAGCACACTTGTTTTAATTTGGATCAAATATTATTATTGAACTGAAAATGTTACGATATTGAATTGAACCGATATAATTCGAAAATGGCGAAACGAAACAAAAACTCACAAGTGTTCTTTTTCACGCAGGCCTATTTATTTTCTGAGAAAGTAATGCACATCTATACATCAAAAACGATGCCTTCAAAAGTATATGCTTATAGGATTTCATTATTTCAACAAGTATAAGACACTGTGGAATTTTTTGTATTACAAACCGGACTGAAACACCTTGAATGTATTTTTTTGATCAATTCTTGACGGTTTTAAGCGACGAACGAATGTCAGGTTTTCTCAATTTCACCGATCACGTGATTCTTTCAGTTGTCATAGAGATTACAGTATTAATCACCTACCCATTATCAGGGATGGAATCTAAAACTTAGAACTTATTTTTTTTTTATTTCTTCAAAACTGGATCCGTGTGAAAACGTCATATATTGATGAGAACAAAGTTGGGTAGTTTCATTATAATAACACATTTAATACAACAAACAGGAGTACCTAAGCAATTTGAATAGAGAATCAAGATTTAAGATGATTCAGAACTAAATGAAGTTTCTGCTTCTAGTTCCGTATGTTGAAGTCGCTCGATATCTCTGAACTCATGTTGGATTTTTGATCTCAATAAAGCAGCACTTTTGTTTTTGAACTCTGGGATAGTTTTAATGGCTTCATTGAGCTCTTCATTGGATGGATAATTTCGATTGAAAGTCTCTTTGAATCCATCAAAATATGTTCTGAAATGATCCCTCACTTTGTGTCTTTCCGGTGTTGTCCAGCGTTGTACTCGAATACCGCCTGGAAAATAGAGGAATTCATTCATTGAGTAAACGAAAATTGAGAGAGGTAATTTCCTTCGAAGGAATCATTGTTGAATAATTATTATTCAACTACCTGAAATTATGTTTTTGCTGCCAAGGATGACTGTTGAAATTATTAAAATCATTCCGATTTTCAAAATACAGCAATTTGAAATTATTAATGCATCAGACTAAGAAGTATGACCTAGAACTAGTGACATTTGGGGAAATTGTTGATGATAAGTTTCTTGACTCATTTTCTTCAGGACTAAATACCAGAAAAAATGCATCCATATTGGTACCTATCGTTTTTTCAAGTAAATTGACTTAATGAACTGAACTTATGTATTTCAAAATGTGACTTACACCTTTGTTTTTTTATTCGGTTGATTTCAGCGTGTATCCAACTGCGAACCTTCGTTATATTTCTAGATATATGAGGGGCCTTATTGACCAGTATATCTTGTACCTCATGTATTGGTGGCACCTTGAGATCTTGTATGTATTCCTTAAAGAGATTTCGAATTTCTCTCTTCTCCGGAGTTCGCCAAGTACGCCTCGGAATGGAGATAGTTTTCAATATTTTCCGTTTCGGTTCGCAACGACTTTCACTCTTGATTTCCACATTGTTATTTGATTCTTCCAGAATAGTGGAAAGTTCGAACGGCTCGTCTCGAAGGGTTTCGTGATCATCTAAAACGAGATGGGTTTTAGATGAGCCAGGTAGATCCTGTTCGTTGAAAGCACTAGACAGATCAGCACCAACGTCATCATTACGCCAATCTGATAATAACCTCTCTATTCCCGGATCATTATTATCTGGGATAACAGGTGCCAAGTTATCATTTTGAGATACACCAGAAGCCTCCAACAGCACTTTCCCCATGACTACAATGTCAGTATGTGCCTGTTTTTGTTGATAAACATTCTGATGTACAGCCATTGTATGGCCCATGAAGTCACTGATGATATTTTGAACATTAGATGATAACATTGCCGTACATGTTGCCAAATGTTTTCGCAGTTTGTTAGCATTGAGCCTATTATAATTCAATTCGTTGCGTTGACAGATGAGCTTCAGTGCTTCATCAGCTTTGAAGTATGGCAACCTGGTAGAACTTGATCCTATCCGAGCAAATAAGTATTGATTCTCAGTTGGTATCCCAATTTCATTACGTTTTTGTACAAGGAGATCAATAGCTTGCTCAACTTTTTTCGGGATTAAATTTGATGCCTTTTTATTGAGTTTTCCTTGAGTGATGTATCTGGCAAATTGCTCTGCATGTTTCTTATCATCACCAGGCAATTTCAATAAATGTTCTTGATCAACTCTTGCCATGCTACGAATTTCCAGTAATTGTGTCTTTTCAACGTCACCAGGCCGCTTCCTATTGAATACTAATAAGTATGCCAAGGAGGCCTTCGCTAGGGCAGTATAACTCTCTGGGTCGAAATTGGAACAAGCCTTTTCATATGCTGAGGTCACTTCTATATCGAGTACTTTCAGTAAACCATTGATCTCTTCAGTGGAAGGCAAAATCTCCTTTTTTTGTCGTTGAAATTGTGTTTTGTTATCTTGTGCTTGTCTTGTTATATCATGGTTCTGGCTATTTGCTAAGAGGTATTCAAAGTTTGCATATCTCTTTTCGGCAATATTATCAATGCGTTTTATTGCCTCACATTTGAGAAATTTGCTTACTTTGAGAAGTAATGTGCAACAATTGCTAGCAGTTGTAGGTGATTTGAATATACCATTGTTGTAACCACATCGTAATTGGATGGCTTTGATTATGTTGTCATAGTGCTTTGGATGTAATAGATCTGCAATATCTCTTATATTGGTATCAATGACTTTGGCATTAATAAAAATATCTGCAAGAAGTCTTAATTGAGAAGCGATATGTATGTGATGTTTACCACCTGCATTAGTTCTATAATATTTCGTAACTAACTTATTCCCATATTCTACAGCAGTATCATCTTTGAATAATATTTCAGCTTGAGCTGGTTTCGTAAAATAAGGAAAAAAGTATTTGATGAGTTCTGGTGAAGCTTTTTTGTTAACTGCTCGACCGTTGACTCTTGCCTCACCCATTGCATTTGTAATAGTGAGAAGTAAATCTTTTTTTTCTGTCCTCATTCGACAATTTCTGAAGTGGCCCTTGAAAGATTTATGTGAGTAAAAGCCTTTACATAGAGGACAACAAACATAGGAAGTTTGATCAGGTTTAGGAGAATTCCTGACAGGAATAATATTTTCACAATTATTTATATAATTGTAGTGGTGATCGCCACGTTTCCTCAATTCTTCAAATGCAGTGTGGTTTCTGTATTTCGGATTCCTTTCTCCTGAAAATAATGCCCAATTCATCTTAATTTCTAGACCTATCTCAAGTTTAGTGTTCAGTGTATCCCATTTTGGTTGAGACTGCCAGGTTTCTCGGTTTCCATTGAACATACAACCTTGTGGTTCTCACGTGACTGTCCTTTTTTGTGGAACTCAAGATGTCCTGATTATATTTTGCAGAACTTTTACCGTATATGAGATACAGGGCGATTTTCAAAATATATATTCTTTGACCTCTTCTATACCTACGAAGTTATAAAATAAAGAATAATGTTCATCTAAAAACTATGCCTAACAGAGAATTCTGAGCAGAATCCAGTGTCGAACTCGAGTCTTTTTTCTTCGGGATATGGTCGTAGAGATACGACACAAACTTATGTACTAACAATAATTCACTAACACGAATCACAAAACGTAGGTATCCAAAAGCAACAAATAAATAGAAATACATAGTTCATACACTTCTGTGATTTACCAATGTTGAATTACAGAATTTGCAAATGTACATATTATTATTTTGAATTCATTTCAATTCCAGTGACGACTCTGCGGTCTTCGACGCCACGCCCTGAAAAAATAATTGAGTACGCCACTGGATTCTGCACAGAATTCTCTATCAGACGTAGTTCTCTGAACATCATTTCTCATGACTTCGTAGATATGATGGGGTGAAAAAACCAAAATCGCCCTGTATCTTATAAACGGAAACAGTATGCAAAATCTGATTAGGCAATTTTGAGTGTCATAAAAAAGGAGGAAAGGGACGTGAAAACCGCAAGGCTTTATCTTCAATAATGACCTAGAAACCTGGCAGTCTCAACAAAAATGGGATGCACTGTTCATTCACATCTATACTGAGTGTCCCAAGTTATATTGAATAACTTCAAAGTGCCCCAAAGGGATGAAGAAAAGCTCAAAGTTATCTCCACACATATATAATCTTCTTGTTGAATGGTTAGGGACATGTTTCGGACTTAGAAAAGTCCATCTTCAGCTCATGTTTCAAGTTCAAAGTATCTTCCCAATGATGTATAAAAAGTTTCTTAAATTTGACAGCCCTGTGGTCGCTAACTCTAACTTTCTACTTTCAAATTGCACCTACTGTATATTGTCAGTGAAAGTTGCGTGTCATTCAACGATAAAACATACTTGGTATTTTTTCATTAATAACAACAAAAATATTTGTGCTAGTTGGGGTAATCACAAATCAGAAAAACATATTCATTGGATTTTAATGAACTTCGAAGATTTTTTCGTAAAAATCGTTCACCAATAACCCTACTAGCACTAACATTTTGTGGAGTATGAATTGCAAACAAAATACCTACTATGCAATTCGAAAATCAAACAAACATTCAAAGCAACTGTTTAACATTATTTCCTGCAGAATCCGTGCAAGTTGCAAAACGTGTTAATAACGTTCTTGTGCACGCCGCCTGAATCATAGCTGGTGTAACGCTACGACATGCTTCACAAATACTTTCTTTCAGATCATCTAAATCCATAGATTAGGTTCCATTTGTGTTTCGCTGTATTCCAAATTCCAGTTCCATTTGGAAACAAAAAATGAGGGGTAGCTACCACAGGGCTGTCAACCTTTTTTATACATCATTGGGAAGATACTTTGATGTTATTCAAAGTATTATTATTCATTATTTCCTTGTCAAATTAGCGAGATATTGCCTGTTTACGATGACTTTGGGCACCCGGTAGTTCTTTTTGTGAATTTGAGTTCCAACTGAGGATATGAAAATATTTTATATGAATTGACGTTCGAGCTATTAGGAAAATCGTTGATGTCGTCCGAAGAAATGTTGTTTGGCCGGTCAATTGCACAATCAGATATAAATATTTCTATACAGACTATCCTCATTTGGATAGATAGGACATTCACAATTGATGAAAATCTTCATTGAATATGAGAATAGAATAAAAAACAGAATCTTTTTTTCAAAAGAAATCCAGGGTGTCTCTGAAAGGTCTTTACAAAAATAACCTATCAAATATTCCTCAGACCCAAACAATTCTATACAAGCAAACTTAGTACAAAGTTGCTTATTTTAGCGCTAGACGGCTCTGAAGTTACAATTTTCGAATCGTTTTTGATTCAAAACTTTGAAACAGCTTATGTGATTTCACTAAAATTTTGTTCCTTAGGATACCTTTATGGAGCAATAAAATCCATTAATATCATTCCTAGAACTCGATTTTGTCAAAAAATAAACATATAAAACTTCAACTCCAATCGAAAAACAGGAGTTTCATTATGGAATTTGCAATGGGCAATTCATTCACTACAAAAATTTACTCTTGATAAAATTCGATTACGTCCATGAGTTTGAAAAAAATTGAATTTCAGTATTTAGGAGCATAAGCAAATATTGAACCAAATAACAGATATTCCATTAAATTTTTTTCAAAATGTTCTCCTCCTTCACGTATACAAAGATTTAAACGACGAAAAAATGGATACAAGTAAACTCACTTCAGTAGAGTTGCTCAGTTTGGACGCTATGCCGTTTTGGCTAACTCAGTACAGAAAACAACTCAAACAGCTGATATTATATTTCAAATTTTTCCGTCCTATGAATCTCTGTATACGTAAAGGTGTGAACATTTTGGAATTTTTTTATGAAGTTGGGCAATCCAAATCTATTACTCAAACTCTTTTTTTCCCATTGCCGTTAAAGTTTTGAATGTTGATTTACAGAAAAAAATCAAGAACCCTATAAAGGTATCCTAACGTACCAACTTTGAGTAAAATGGCATGATCCGTTTCAAAGTTATAAAGCTAACGAATTGAAAATTTCAACTGTCCAGCGCCCAAACTATGCAAATTTGTAATGAGGTAAATTTGTTTGTATCGAATTGTTTTGGTCTGATAGGTTTTTGTAAATACCTTCAAGAGATATCCTTCATAGCAAGCTTTCAATTTCAATAATAATTGAAATAAAAATATCCCATTTAGCAAATAAACATCGGATCCAAATTTTCATGCAATATATTTGGGATAAAGTTTCGGATCCATTGGAAGAACCTCTGGTATATCGAAAATGGGATACTCTGTATATTGTGGTACATGAGTTTAATTATGTAGGCACCTTGCAAAAATTTTGTTGAAGCATCAACTGCAGCTTTCACACTTTCCTCTTCCATATGCATAGATCTCAAGTGTCTAGGCAAATTGACGACCAATGTGCCACAAAACAGGCAACTGTGTTTTTTTGCACTTATCTTTTTTTGAACAGGTTGATCTAAAAATATCAAAGCTTATGAAAATTTACGGTCTCCAATATATTTAATTTCGAATACCAGGTACTGATGATGATGATGTTTCAGCTTCAGCAAGTACCACAGGGATAGTCGAAATACTCCGGACGATATCAGATGGACATCGGTAGTCTTCCACGATTACTGATGTAAATATACTAGTAATACCAGGAACAGATGATTGATCTTCCATTTCTGAAATCAAATTATCTTTGTGAACCATTGGATAGAGCAGTAGAAGTCACCAAAGAGCGAGAAAACTAAGATTGAAAATTTATTTGTGTGAATAATCGAATATATGCTCTATCCATCTTCAATATTTTCATCAATCCAGTGTTGCCGTTCGTATCGTAAACAAAAGGCAACTTTTTCTCACTGAAACCCCATGTGGATTATTTCATTTTCCAAATAAATCTACTTCGGAATCTTGACGACTTTTCGCTATGAATAGACAGAGTGAACGAGGGTTAAACCGCCAAACGTTTAGGATCGATTTTTTATGCAAAAATAAAACTTTTTATTCCTATGAGCATGTGTCCCAACTTGCTTCTTTTCTGAAATATAGGGTGACAAAGTTTTTAGAAAAAAAATAGTGTTTCATTAAGTACTCAAAAACCTTTCGGCTGATTTTGATAAAACTTGGCAGGCTCATTTGAGTTTTATCAAAATCAGCTCAAAGGTTTTCGCGTAATTGATGAAAAACTGTTTTTTTCTAGAAACTTTGACACCATATAATAATATGTCTAAAATAAAGCAAGTTAGGACACAACCTGTTGAAATTATTTCGATACTACCGAACTATAGATGTATTATCAACTAAGACATAAAACAAGATTATAGCCACTTTTTTGATTCTGTATAGTATGATGCATATATGACTGAATAATATATGCTTTCATGCTCCATAACTCAAGCTCAGCTTCCGAATGTTGCGTAATTTGAAAGAATTTGAATTCATCTTGAGCAGGTACATTATTTTGCTAAAAATTCCGAGGTTACTTATTATATCGAACACGGCTCTAGATTAAGTATACCATAAAGTTAAATATAGTCGAAGTGAAATCAGCATATGTTTTCGAAGAATGGAATGTCCTACAGAGGGTACCTATTCTTTTAAATTGTTGAAGTTATCATGTGTCTCAGTTGAAAGCTATACCACTGAAAATCAAATCATTTTGAATGTTCAGCATGTTCAATCGAATATTGAATCTGATCTCCACACTTTCTGATATTGATTATTTTCTTCGTATGATTTTGAACCGTTTCGATTGGTTCGATCGAGCTAAGCTACCATGTATAATTTCGATTATACATGATTATACATAGAGTAACTCTACCAATCCGAAATTTAGAATTATTCAAATGTCCATAGTAACCAATTCATATTGTTACATACAAACAAAGCGCGCCGTAGAATTGTGACGTTCGTTCAGACTACTCAAAAAATAATCGTATCGAATACAATTCGAACTTCAAAATCTTCGAGGTTATACATCTCAAACTTCCTGCACAATAATTACGAATCATGTCAGTTTGACAGTTGTTAAACTGACACTCTTTGTAATAATTATGCAACAAGTTATCGATTGATAACCCGAATATTTAGAAGTACTTATAGTATTACTTCTGATTATATCTCGTCCCATAGGAATTCCCCTGCATGAATTGAGCATAAAATGTCAGAATTGAAAAAAATCAAGGGCTGCAAAACTGAATATTGAATACCTTTCATCATCGATGAATCAGTTGAGGTTCCAGGTTTCAGGAGAACATTGTTCAAAACCTTTATTTCATTTCTTTTAGCTAGAAATGAAAATATATGTCATAATAATGCAATTATGTTATGTATATTTCTGACTTTCTATATGGCAAGAAATAGGGGTCAGCATTTCTGATTATTGCACCACCCTATTTATTTCAGGATTGTATAATCAGATTTCCCTATAAAAAATTGAGAAGTTCAAACACAGTGACATGGAGATTGAGTAACTAATTCTGTGGGAATTTTTTAAATTCAGTTCCAGATCTGATCAGTCATATTCGTGAGTATGTACAGTAGTGTGCATAAACAAGTCGTACATGGTTTGTATGGTGCAAGCCTTCCTATGATGTTACAGGATTCATTAAAAAGTAGTACATATTATAGGAATTTTCTTTCGTGCGTCCCAAGAGATAGCTTTTTTGAAGCTACTTGTCAAAGTCGACAAGAAGATTAATCAAGATTGACAAGCCTGACTCACAATAGCCTATGACTGCTGTAAGACTTGTTTATGCACACAATGTACATGGATGAGAGAACTTTTCAGATTCAGAAATTCAGAAACTTCAGATTGCATCTCTATTTTGATTTGGAGTCGGTTAACTGGGAGCTAGTTGATGATTTAGAAACTTATCCATGTGCTGTTGAAAATATGAAGAAAACTATACAGGGTGACCCACGGTCGATGACCTTAGACGTTTACGGAGAACGGAACATAGGATTATTCTGAAAATTTTGTTTCTTGGATAATCAGTTCTGATCTATTGATCCAAAATATTATCAGTTCTGCGGCTTCGCCGCTTTAATTAAAAAGTAGCAACTATTTGATATGGAACAACCTGTTCTTCATTCCATTTCTAGATTCTCACTGAAGAGCTGATTTCATCGAGATATCATACTTTAGGTTTAACGGAAACGGTTACAGAGATATAGGGTGTGAGAAATGAAGATTTTCCAACTTCAAGCATTTCTTGAATCAAAAGTAATGATTACTAGTCAACACGTTTAACCTCACCCTATCCCAACTTTTGTTCCACTATCTACTGACATTTAATTGGAAAAAATACAGGGTGATGCAGAATTCAGAATTTTGATCAGCCTGTATCTGTCCCAATTGAATGTCAGTAGATAGGGAATCAAAAGTTCAGATAGGGACATGTAAGCCGTTTTGACCGATAATAAGTACTTTTGACACAAAAAATTCTATATATTATACATCTGTAATCATTTCCCATAAACCTTCAGCGTGATATGTTGATGAAATAAGCTATTCAGTCAGAATCTAAAAATGGAATGAAATACAGGATGTTCCATTCGAAATAATGAAAGTTGTTGCTACTTTCAGATTGAACCGCCGCAGAGCTGCAAATATTCCAGATCAATAGAACATAACTGATTGTCCAAGATACCAAATTTTCAAAATGATCCAATGACCCGTTCTCCGTAAACGTCTAAGGTACCATCAACCGTGGGCCACCCTGTATAGTTCCGTGTTCAGAAAAACATAGTTCATCAATTGATGAGAAGAAGAAGCAATGGTAATGTGTTATTCATTCTTTAATATCATCTCAAATAAGGCTAGGGAAGGATAAATGAGAGATTTTTAACTTTCAATTTTCTCGAAATTCTTCATTTCGAAATTTCGCATCTTTCTCAATGGCATATTGAAGGGCTCCTAAATCCCAAATTTAAGCTCTATTCAACTGACTTCATTTCTCTCTCCATATATGAGATCCAGATTATGAGTAGGGAATTCGTTTAAGCCTCTATACCATTATTACTGAAATTATATTTCCTAATTTAACCTCTGTACTGATTTCAGATGAAAATCTCTCCTGATACTGTCTATGGTTTGATTGAGGAATGTTCATTTCTCTAGATTTTTTAGATTTTTTTCTCGTTTTTATAAATGGAAATATTTTAGTATTATTTCAATATAACTGCAGTAAGGATATGTTCAGGTAATTTTGATTTCTCGGCTAAGATTTACCTACTGGAAATGGGCAACATGTGGCAGATTGGAAAATATCAGAATCATAGGAAAATAAGATAATAATCACAAACGAAAAATCGAAGGATCAACAATATTAATTACATGTTTCCTGTTCAGTTGATATAGATAGATTCACTTCTGAAGACTGAGTATGGAAATGGTAAATTCGAGATCAATCAATAAAAACACCTGGTAACCCTCATTTTTGAAAACTATAACTAGTTTTCACTAAAAAATGTCCATTTCTGTGAATACGAAAATATTGTGTAGAGAAGAATTTCTATTTTTATGTTGAAAATGGAATCAGAGTCGTTTCCAAAACGTCTGCAGATGAGAAGTTAATATTTTATATTTTTTTCAATATAGGTAGGTATCTATATTTCTTTGCTTCAAATATTTTTCGAAGAAGATGTTACCTCGGGTGTCACTGACTACCGATTGAATTTCTCTTTCAGGTTCTTAATGGTGAAATTTCGGGCACGGTGACATTTTGGAATAATACTTATATTTTCATTCATGGAAACGAGAAGCAAAACAAAACTATGATTCCAGAGACATTCATCCAATTTCTTATAACCTACATTGAATATTGATAAGTATTATCAAATCAGAGGGTTTTGAAATCAGGAATGTGCAGTCTTGCCCATTTCCGCATCTAACTGTTTGATAAGTCATTTTGGCAGTATGAAAAGTTCAGAAAAATCAAATAACTCACCAGTTTTATATGTCGATGCATTCTCTGATGATATGGATGAGACTTTTGAATCTCCAAATAGGACATCCCATTGTTCTTGTTCCTGTTCTTCATCTGGTAGCCATTCTGATCCACTGTCATCATGATCATATGAATCAATATCTTGATCATTCTTATCATAAATCTTCTCAATTATTTCATAATCTCTGCTTAAAGAACTTTCCTGATTATTTTCTAATTCTTGGTTAAATTGTTCAAATGAATCATTTGGAATAGCCTGTGGAGTATTTTGCTCGAATAAGCATTTTCTCACAAATGAACGATCAAAGCTATGATATTCTCCAGCTGTTATTGAAATGTACAATCGTTTGTTCTCGATGTCATCCTTGAGATTATTTAAAAATGTTTCATCAATATTTTCACAGAGCAGTCTAGCTCTGTATTTACCTCTGCCCTTATGGCTCACTGTCACTACTGCACCTTCAATAGTTTGGACTTTAGATGAAGGGTATACATACATATCTCCATTATCGAATTCTACCAAGGAAAACATGGTATTCTTGATATTTCTCATGATACTGAAATAATATCAATACTAGAAGTAAAAACTTATTTCATATATACCATATGCCAAATATAAAATAACTTCTGTTGCTCCAAACCATATAGTAGGACCAAAAATGTTTAACCATCTACCTGATGTTTTAAAAAATATTGTATCCATTTCCTTGTTCAAACGAGAACTTAGATGTTCCTCACTTGAAAAATGCTTTTATAGTGTAGGAGAATTTTCCTCCTCATGAGTCTTTTGACTTTGACTATTCCTATATACAGGGTGGGCCACCAGTAACGCCTCGGTCTCTAGAAGGCTAACCACTTATCTTCTTGGAATTCTTCCTCTCTAGGAAGTTGCATGTCAACATAGGCTACCATTTAAAATTATTTCGAAACATACAGGGTGTCCCCAAAAACCATAAAACACTGAAGTTAAACTTTTTTCTATCGAACACCCTATATATTATTTCATTTTGAGATTCTCCCTGATGAGCTGATTTCAACGACCCATCATACTTGGGGTCTAGCAGTTATAATTACTGAAATATAGGGTGTGAAAAATCGAGATTTTCCAAGTTCAAGAATTTTTTGTGTCGAAACTACTCATAATTGGTCAAAACGGCTAACATGTCCCTGTCTCAACTTTTGATCAACTATCTACTGATATTTAATTGGGACATATACCGGGTGATCAAGATTCTGAATTCTGCACCACCCTGTATTTGTTTCAATTGAATGTCAGTAGATAGTTGATCAAAAGTTGAGATAGGGACATGTGAGCCGTTTTGACCAATTATGAATGGTTCAGACACAAAAAATTCTTGAACTTGGAAAATTTCGATTTCTCACACCCTATATCTCAGTAATTATAACTGCTAGACTTCAAGTATGATGGATTGTTGAAATCAGCTCACCAGAAAGAATCTCAAAATGAAATAATATATAGGGTGTTCGATTGAAAAAAGTTCAACTTCAGTGTTTTGTGTTTTTTGGGGACATCCTGTATGTTTCAAAATAATTTCAAATGGTAGCCTATGTTGACATGCAACTTCCTAGAGAGAAAGAATTCCAAGAAGATGAGTGGTTAGCCTTCTAGAGACCGAGGCGTTACTGGTGGCCCACCCTGTATAATACTTGTATTATCCGAAGGAAAATAAATGATTATTATTATTATTATTATTATTATTATTATTATTATTATTATTATTATTATTATTATTATTATTATTATTATTATTATTATTATTATTATTATTATTATTATTATTATTATTATTATTATTATTATTATTATTATTATTATTATTATTATTATTATTATTATTATTATTATTATTATTATTATTATTATTATTATTATTATTATTATTATTATTATTATTATTATTATTATTATCAATATTATTATAATAACTGAAAGTTGATTTCAAAAGATATTTCTTGAAATTTTGGATGAGTCTACAGAGATCTACGATCCCAAAAATTATCCGAAACTGCTACTTCTGAGTGCAAGCCAATCTTATTATTATCATTAATAATTATAAGTGGAAATCCAAGCGGAAATTCTACAAATTCAATGATTATTCTATGGTAATGAATGGAAAACTATTCAATGAACATGATCAGATAGTTGTCTAATTTTGTAGCATCCAATTCACCTCTCTTCTACCCTCTTATACAGAGTGGGTCACGGTGGATGGCCTATCAGAAGTATCTGGAGAACGATAGAACATAACATTCTGAAAATTACGATACTTCGATGATTGAACATTCTCTATTCGTCTTAAATGTTTTCATCGATACAGTGTTGCCACTTCTATCAGAAACAACTAGCAACTTCGTTATTTAAAATGGAGCACCCTGTATTTTATTGCATTTTCAGATTCTTCCTGAAGAGCTGATTTTATCGATGTCTCACACTTGGGGTCTAGCAGGAATGATTACAGAGATATAGGGTGTTCAAAATCGAGATTTTTTCAATTTTGGGATTTTTTTGTGTCGAAACTATTCATTATCGATCAAAACGGTTAACATGTCCCTATCTCAACTCTCGATCCACTATCTACTGACATTTAATTGGAACAGATACAGGGTGATCAGAATTCTGAATCTTGAAGCACCGTGTATTTTTTCCAATTAAATTCCAGTAGATAGTGAATTAAAAGTTTAAATAAGGACGTGTACGCCGTTTAGATCAATAATAAATAGTTTCCACACAAAAAAAACCTAAAATTGAAAAATCTAGATTTTGAATACCCTATATCTCTGTAATTTTTGCTTGACCCCAAGTATGATACATCGATGGAATCAGCTCCTTAGGAAAAATCTAAGAATGCAATAAGATTCAGGGTGTTCCATTCGAAATAACAAAGTTGCAAGTTGTTTCTGATAGAAGTGGCAACACTGTATCGATGAAAAACATTTTAGACAAATAGAGAATGTTCAATTATCAAAGCATCTCAATTTCCAGAATTTTCTGTTGTTTCGTTCTCCAGATACTTCTAATAGGCCATCCACTGTGACCCACCCTGTATAATATACAAAAAAAATCAATTCGACGTTAGAGCTCAGAAAATCAATGTTTGAATGATCTCTTTCTTGAAATATATGTGAAATACTTCCCTGAATAAGATAAGTGAGTTTTCAAATGATGGATATACAGGGGATTGTCAAAAATGCACTATTTTGGTTTTTCGCGATTATCTCAAAAATAAAAAACGATCGAAAAAATATGATGGCAACCTTATTGTAGCTCTTATAATAACCGAGATAGCAATACATGCAGCACCAATCTGGGACACAGTGTATATAAACATTCCAGTTGTCTAGATGAATTAAATTCGGAATATTTCATAGGAAGTTGAAGCAAACAATATCATCAAATAATTTTCTACTCGAAAACCTTGATAGTGAGGTATGAATTCGAAAGATCAAAACTTCAGTAAGGTTTCAACGAGGGTTTCAAATAAGATTCGAAAATGATAAAATCAATAGAAAGTTAATTCTATTTGAAATAACGAATGATGTCTACTTCCCGTATTACCCGAAATAACAAACCTATAACTGAGCACACCATATTCCTTGTGGTTGTACATCCGCGGATTATCAAAGGTCTGGTCTGGTTACAAACTCAGTGCTTATTCAGTACCCGAAATAGGATAAGCTTGCACTTAGAAAAAATAAGTATCAACTGTATCAACCATAATAATCTTATTAGCTATTTCTCATGACATGCCTGAGAAGTCCTACGTTCAATATTCGGCATTGCCACTGTAAACTGGGGATTTGTTTTTTTATTCAATTCAATTCCTAATAATATCATGATAACAAATGAAAAATATAAATTTCTAATAGCTGAGAAATCAATATAGATATACTTACTGCGATTGTTAACAAATAAACTCTGTCATGAGTGTCCTGTTTTTCCTATGAACTTAAAATTTATAAGAAGCAGGATACCGGCATAGTATAGAGAGCTCACAGAGGCAATAAGTTCACTTCCACAGGAATTTGGCAAGCGTCCCCACTACTGCATTGAAACTCGCGGTCGATGCGCAGTAGCTCAGTCGAGACAGACGAATGTACAGAGAGGCTCAGCACCATGTATACATTGTGTCCCAAAATTATCGTGAGTCGTGAATCGTGATCTTAAGAAATGAAACATTGATTCATGCATGAATCTTAAGAAAGTCCTATTCGCTCCTAATCAAATAGATATTCTGTGTTTGTGATCGCAAATTGATCATATATAATCAAATAATGATAAAGATACTGAACTTGAAAAATTAATATGGAAATAAGCATTCAACATTTGCCTGTTTTTCAAAACCCAATGATCCATTTGGGGTTTTCTTTATGGTTATACCTAGAGTCATTGGATGGTATTAGTTTGATAAGAGTTCGGACACAGAAATGACAACGGTTAGGGTTTTTCAATGTTTAGATTCAATAAGTTACACACCTTGCATTGTGACAAGAGCACCATAGTCGTCCCGCACTTGTTCATTCAAAATTGTTTGAATTCGTCAATAAATTTTATAAACGTCAGAATTGAAATAAAATTTCATATTTATACTTTCGAGGAGAAAGCAGTTAAGGAAATCACTTGCTGTGTGATGAATTGCGCCAATTCTGAACAAATGGATATCATTATTTATTCAATTTTCCAAAACGAATATCAACCATTCGCTTATGGAAGGAAGATATAAAACGGCCTAGGTGGAAAAAAAATTTGAAGAAAAGCGAAATTCGTGAGGTACACATTAAAATTCACTTCTTGTAACAGCATCTGATCCAAATAAAGCTTTATTTTAGGCCCATTTTCAATCAGAAGATTTCAAAATCTGTTCATCACACAAAATACAAAACAAAATATTCATGGAAAAAGAGGAAATGATCGCAAAATTACATAATGAAATTGAAGATTTGGAAACGAAACTAAGAAAAGCAAGTAAACTACAACGTGAAATATTATTGAATAGGGCGTTTTTGGTACCGACCAATTTCAAAATTCCACAGTGAGAAGTGAATAAGTATTTATGTATCAAGGGAATTACCATAAGGTCCTTAATTACGCTAGAGGTTATTGTTTTGGAGATATTTTCTATATCGATCCATGTTACATAGCTCCTAGGGCAGTATAAGTGAAGTTGCTGAGAACTTCACAAAACCAAGTATTTGGTAGGTCTCGTCAAAATAAACTAATAAACTACTTTTTTCCTATGAAATGTTTATTGAACCATGATTTGTTATCTGTATTTCAACACCCTGTATCTGTATAAATGAAGCATTTCCGGACACAAGCTTATAAATACTTTATTTCTTGAAATTGTCTCAGGAATACTTTACTTGAACTTACCTATGTTACTTTCTGTATATTCTTGAAAATACATGATGTACTTGAGAAGGAAATTGAGGCATTCAACTAGAGCCCATCAGGAAAAGGAAGTTGAAAAGCCCAATATTTCAATAGAAGATGTTAGTCAGTTCATGACAGAG